TGTACGTACGACTGGCCTGTTCTTAATGGGAATAAGCTCATTCATCCTATATGAAACGGAAGATCACGTGACCTCTGATCGTCTAGGCCTTTGATGTATGGTCATCACTGGCAATTAACTGTCAATTCAAGGCCGTGCTTATGCATCCGAAACCCCGAGCCCTAAGTCTCGAGTGGCAATCATCCCTCGGGAAAAAGAATCTAAAGTGCGATCTTGTATTTTTGTTTGAGTAATCCTAATTTTTTTCTTTTAATTTGTCGAATTAGTCATTCATCATTCGTTTAAAAAAAATTTTTATTAATTTATTAAAATGTTTGTCAATTTTCTCTTAATATTATTTTCAAAAATGTACAAATAAATATAAATAAATAATAAAATGATAAACGCATTAAAAATAAGTATTTTTAAAAATTATAATGATAATGTATCAAAAAATCTTAACGATACAAACATTTTTAATTTGATCGATATCGATGATAGTGAGTACTTTAAAAACAAGAAATATAATGATTTTAAATGTATAGTATAACAGTGATTATATAATTTATAATTTCAAATGCTTGAAAATTTTTAATGATGTAAAAAAATATTTAATAATATATATAATTCATTATGTTTAATTTTTTTTTTTACAAACATATTTATTAATTGTATTTATATGAAAATCAATCATAAAAAAATATGTTACTTGATCATAATGGATCATAAAATGGATTATAAAAAAAATAATTCATAATTATAAAAAAAAAAGTTGTTCTCAAAATATTATATTATAGGCTAACTATGATATACTTTTACATTAAATGATTTATTGATAAAAAAGATAAATTTGTTCTACTTTTAAAACAAAAAATAAATCATACTTGATAATAGTTCTGATAATGGATTTAATATTTATAATAAAATAAAATTGATATTATTTGGCTATGATACTAGATTTATAAATATCAAAATTTTGACTTAATTGACTAACAACACATTTTGACTTAATTGACTAACAACACATTTTGACTTAATATTGTTTATCTTCAATTCTCATAATACATCAAGATATCCGACAATTTTACAATGCAAAATATTTTGCTTATTTTTAAAAATATTAAAAAATATTTCAGATACAAATTTTCGAGTTTAGAGAATATTATTTTATTAAGACTTGGCAAAAGAAATTTTTTTAATATTATATTTTTTATATAAAAATATAAATTTCATTTATAAATTTTTATGAAATTTTATCTTTTTTTTACTTATCTTTTGCAACAATTATTTTTATATACTTATCTCTTGCAGTAATTATTTTTTTGAATTTTAAATCATTTTTCCAACAATTTTCTTAATTATAAAGATACTTATTTTTTACATATTTATTTTTTACAATAAAAGTCATTTTTTTGCAATATTAAATTTTTTCCAATAATTTTTTAATTCTATAAGATTCAGGAATATGCTAAATGATTTTATATCTGAAATTTCATTTGTTTTCCATATGAAATTCCATGTAATAATATGTAATTAAATTAAATTGCAGGTACAATTTTTTTCTCTTTTTTTAATTTTTTTTTAATTTAACAATATAGGAAATATAGGAAATATAATAACAATATTTATTTGAGCAATATAATGAGCATCCTCATTAATTTGATTTCTTCTTACAAATCTGTCTTCTCGCAATTCGGTATTATAATTCGTGTAACTATTTTAACTAGACAATTAATGTAGCATATTAGGAAATTATATCAATGAATTGTGATTGCCGATTATTAGTGTCTACAAATGTGGATAGAGAAACTAGGAAGGCAATTGTTTCATTCATAACTCGAAGAAACTTGATCGAAATTAATCAGATATATCAGTGTTTTTTTCAATAATATTTCATAGATGATTAATGTTGATTTCAACGTTATCATTACGTAATTCAACAAAGATTCCGAAACAGGAACTGAATTGTTTCGCTGAAACAAATAATAGAGTTCGATGGACAGTTTATTCCGGTTAGATTCAGAAGTGCAACAGAACTGTCTGTGATTTTAATAAAGCACGTACCAGATGTGAGTATTAGTGGACAGAATACGTATATGAATTCAAGTGGATGCCACTAGCTTAATCGTGAAATGTGGCCTGCGTTGCCGAGCTACATTCAACGTGGCCGGTACATTTTATTAGCTAGCTACGCCAATTCTAATGCAGTTCTTCTCGTAAAAATGTAGCGACGTACACGGTCTTTTATTCGACGTACATTATTCCATTAGCTTATTCAGTTTTCTGTTAATGATAGCTAGATTGAACAAGAGTTTTATTATGATTTGAAGTTGTTGAAATGGCTTCAACTCTTATATCGTGTATGTAATAAAATAAATATAAATATAAATAAAAATATAGAAATAAAGAATATAATTATTTTTAATTTATTATTTGCAATTTTCTGTTAAGTAAATTAAAAATAACTTATATAACGAGTTAATTTCGAAATTATTAAAATGATATTGAACTTTCATTTTTATTTATATTATTATTATAGATATAATAGAATAAATATAAATCAAAATTTAGAAATTGCTTATAATATTCAATGTTATTTATTTCTAAACTTTATTAAAATTTAATATTTATTGGTGATCGTTTCAAATTACATAATGCATTGTGAGGTTAAAATTGTTGTATTCGCAGATGAGACATCTAGCGGTGAAATTTGATTCAAACAATGCTGTATCTTACTTTAGTTTCAATATTTACAATTGAATGTCATTTGATGGTAAAGAAAAATGAAAAAAATATATTCTCTATTTAATATCGCTAATTAATATCGCTAATTAATATCGCTAGTTAATATCGCATCAATAAGATATATTTTATATATTTATTATCAAGATATATAAATGGATATATCACACAGCTTAATAAAAAAAAGACGAAAAATATCTTGATTATAGCGTCATATGATTAACATTGGAGATATTTCATATAAGAAAATTAATTATATTTTAAACTTCTTCTATAAATTTTGGAAAATGTTATAATAATTTGAGTTTATGATTGCAATTTTTATGAATCTATGTAAGTATCATTCTAATTTTTCTCAATGTAAATTTCAGAAAATTTTTTATGCATTATTATTTAAAATTTACTTCGGATAAAAGATTTAGATATTAAATTTATACATTTAAAAAATATAAAAGCTATCTTCTTAAAATAAATTGAATATCAGTCAAAATAAAAAAAATTAATATTTTTTTGAAGCTTGTGCAACTTTGACCTGAGATATATTTAATCAGTAGACTGTAAATATATTAAAATCAAATTTATATGAATACAATTAAAAAATAGAGTTTAAATAAATGTTTGTTTTAATCTTTAAATATAAATATAAATATATACAGTTATTATACTTTAAAAATTCTTATTACCTTTTTATAATTTTTGTATATTTTGTAGATTTTTGAATGTTCAAATTTTATATAAATGCTTTCACAATTTTATAATTATTAATAATTAATAAATTATTAGACTGGTAGATATTTATATAGAACGAAGAGAATTTGTTCATTATTAAAACATTATTAAAAACATTTTATATATATTATTTAATATTTTAAGAATTTATTTATTTTTTGTTCAATTTACATTAAGTTATATATATAGACTACATTAATAATGAAATTATGTTTAACAGAAATAGATGAAATTAAGTGAAATCCATTAAAAAAAATTTACTTTATAGAATTCAATTACTTATGTTATTTATTCTTATAATTAATATTCATAAGAATTAATATTTTATTTTCCATATTTACAAGATATTCAGATAATATAAATTAATTTTAAACTAATTAAAAAAATAAAAAACAAATAAGATTTGAGAATGTATATACATAATTATAAATTTTAATGAAAAATATTTTGTGAAAATAATACTTATACAAACTCTATAAAATGAAAAAGATAGATTTTTTATTGTAAAATTTATTATTGTAAACAGCAAACTATATGAAAATAAAAAAGAACTATCACATCTGCACAGAAAAAGCTTCCTAATTAAGATATTCATAGAAGATTAGGAATTTATATGGTCAAGCTTAAATTCTTTTTGAATTATTTTTTGAAATATTTATAAAAATTTGAAAATATTTTATCTAGATGTGAATTTATTTCCTCATATTTACTTTTATATATTATTTTTACATAAAAAATGCAAATCTTTGTATTAAAAAAGTAATATTTGAAAATATAGCTTATATTTTTCAAAATATTTATATACAAAGTTCTATTTTATTTATTTATATTCAATTTTCGTATCTACCAAAGTAATTTATTTTTTTTAAAAATACTTCTGTACAGTCAAATTCGAATTCGATGGAATTTCCTAATAGAAATTTTTTAGTATTACTTGTAACCGAATTATTTACTAAAATAAATCACATCAAATTGCTATAAAAATAATGATTAGTTATTTATTAATATTTATTAAGCAAACAACAACATTATATATCGATATCATAATGAAATAATATAATAATAAATTAAAATATTATCTCTAATATTTTTTTATATTACCTCTTATATATCAGCTTAATAATTAATATTTGCATCAATGACCAGATGATTATTTGTATTTTGTACATTTACCTTATTTACAATGATATGTATTTCATCCTATCACTACGATAAATCATATTTTGTGTTTCTCATCTAATCTTTTCCATCGATGTTGTTGATGCGTGTCGATAATTAGCAAATTTAAATTTCTTTCCTACGATAATCGGACAATTCGGTTAATTTATCGGTAAGAGAAAAAGCGCAAGGGTGTTGGTAAAATGATAAAGCGGAATCGAGTTGTCGCGTCGTTGGTCGAATCACAGGTCGAATTTACGATAATCTCATTCGGTACTTGTCCTAGTCGATTGTAGTCGATAAACGTTTGTGTATGAATTCACTCATACGTATGCCACAAGTACCTCCGACAATCTTATAAAAGCGGCAGTTACCGCAGGAACAATTTATTCGCTACTAGCGACAGCTACGTGGAACACGTGTAGTACACGCCACTTTTTCTCGTCGCGCGAAACAATCAAGAAGTAACAATCAAAAATGGTACAATTCGAGGGTAAATTTCAATTTGTTTCACAAAACAATTTCGAAGAATTCGCAAAAGTTCTGGGTGACCAGAATCTAGTCAATACGGTCTTACAACCGAGGCCCTCGTTCGAATTATCGAAGAACGGAGACGAATGGACCTTCACTTCTAGCAGTGGAGATAATACCTACACCAAGACTTTTAAGATGAATGTACCATTCGAGGAGACATTGCCATCTCTTCCTGATCGCAAATTTCAGGTTTGTTTAATTCATCATAAAATAATATAGATATTATTTAACGAATCAAATTGATAAAATAATTCAGTTTAAATCTAATAATTTTTTCTCCATGATATATATTGAATTTTTTTAATTTGGAATTAAGAAATTTTAATTTTAATTTTATTTTATCAATTCTTTATATATCATATAAATATTTTAGTTTTTAATTATCTTCGAACTTTATAACTTGATTATCTTCGAATTTAGTTATATAATTTTTTATAAGAACAAACTTTGATTGAATTTAAAGATTAAATCTTCGATAACAAAAAAAAATTAATATTTTTTTTGTATAATAGATATAAAATTTATAAAACTTATCTAATATAACTATAAACCGAATTAATCTTTAAAGTATCAAATATTAAAAATTAATTGCATTTTTAATAAAAAAATTATTTCATTTTCAATAAGAATTAAAATTACAATAAATTAGAAGTTTTTTTACTGATATTTTACTGATATATTTTTCTTCAATCAATTTTGTATTTTTTCCTAATTATTCATTTTTTTATAAAGATTTAAATCAAATTTAAATCAAAATTTAAATCAAATTTAAATCAAATTATAAATAATTTTTGTTATATCATACATATGTCTATAATCCAATGATGACATTAATGATGACAAACATTTTTTTATCAAATATTAATAACTCATATTTTTTTCTTTATTACTATAATAAATATTGCAAGTCATATTTATCAATAATACTTGATTATTCTGACATAATTGAAGAAGAATAGACTATAATTAATTTGTAATTTGTTAAATATTTTAATATTATTTATAAAAAAAAATAAATAAATAGTAAATTTTGTAAAAAAAATTCATTTAATGATTATATCGAAAAGTTATTTATTAATGAATTATAAATATTTTTCAATCAATACAAATGTATATATTAATACGTATGTGATATAATTTATAAAGAATAAAGAAATAACATAAATATGAAATATAATTTCTTTTTCTTTATCGTTGCAGACCGTTACATCTATAGAAGGTAACACATTCAAAACGGAAACACAAGTAAACGATTCGCTCAAAGTCAACCGATTATACGAATTTTCAGATAATGAATTATTAGTGGTAAATATTTTTTCTTCTTCCTTTTTTCTTTTTATCATTCAATGAATGTTGTTATATATAAAAACATTCAAATAAAATTTTAACATTATTTCTTTTTTAGCATATAAGTACAAACAAGAGCGACGTCAAGGCAACACGTGTATACAAGAGGGTTTAAATACAAAAATATTTAGATAAAAAAAAATATAAAAAAATTCATTTATCTTAACTGAAAATAAATCTTAATTAGAAATTTTTTCTTTTTTCTTTAATTGGAAATTTCATCCTAATTATTTTCATCTATTACCAAAAGTTCCTTCATGGCAATAATTTAATAATTCTTGAAAAAATATTTTAGACATATTTGTATTTTCGATATTTTTTTTATTAAAATCATTTATAAAAAAAAAAAAGCTTTTATATGTAAATAAGAGAATTTTTTTTTATTTCAAATATATTTATGCATTTAAGTATGTGAAAGTTCAAACAATTTTTTTTAATTAAAATATATTAAATATTTTTTAAATGATATTTGAATTTGTATCATATTTAAGAATTATTTACTTACCAATTTCATTTAATTAATTATTAATATGATCTGCATCATATAAAATATATATTATATTATAAGATGACTTAATATAGTGAAAAATAAAACTATAAAAAAATATTGTCATTATATCTTTGCAATAAAATTAAAAATATTATCAGATTTTAAAATTTGTTCATAATATTTCAGTGTTTTTTTAATCATGTTTCTAACCTAATTTTTGTTTCAAAAATATGTGTTATTTTCATGCGAGGAATATTGAATTAGGTACATAATTCTTAAAAAGGTACAAAATTAGGAACAAAAAAGTTTTTTTTATTTTATCCAAAAGATTATTAAATAATTAATGCTTTGTATGTAAAAAAAAAAAAAAAAGCCTTTAAAAAACAGAAAGAATTGAAAGGCTAATATACAGGTTGCTAACACCCTGTACATTTATGTACAATTTATTTATTTTGAATACATTAAATCAAAATTGGTTAAAAGCTATAGAAATACGGATAAATATCCCAACTTGACGTAATTTTTATTTAAGAATTTTTAACACAACAAATGCATAATATTGTTCGTATCTCTTCAAGATTTTAAAATCATCAATCATTTATCGTATTTATTTAAAACAAATATTAACGTTTCGTTAAATAATACACGTATCTTTACTATAAATAATCAAATACAAAGAATAATGAATTTATCTTATACGTATGTTTACATAAAAAGCCTAAGTACTTTTATATAAAAAAGAAAAAGAAACGAAAGAGATAAAATGGGGAAAAGAATTGAAAGGAAAGATTAAATAATTTTTTTTTTACACCATAACATTATTTTGGCAGTTATAAATTTTTTGAATTTTTCTTCCTAATATTATTTTAAAATTGCATTTAATTCTTTATTATTCGTATTTTATTCGTTTAATGATAAAGATTAAATATTCCATTCTTGAATAATAATCAATTGCATCATTAAACGAAATGATTTTAATTAAGATAAAGAATTCTTTTTCTATATTACGATTATTCTCATTTTTTTTAAATCCTTTTCTTTTTATCCTTATAACTCTTCAGATGATGTTAGTTATAGTTTTTCTTAGATTCCCACATGTTATACATACATAAATTGTCCTTTCGTTTCGATATTTGTTCGAATTTATTTAATATAATAGGTATCACATTAACTCATAGAAGTGCTATACATAGATGGATAGAGAATACATAAGAACAGTATTAATGAATGACGAGTTTATAATATTCTCTCGCAGTATACTCAACTTCGGAATAGGAACAAACAAAAAAAAATAAATATATATGGTACCTGTCGTTCGCGTTTCTTGTATGTGGTGTTTGTGGTATATGCGCGTATGTGTACGTGTCTATATGTTGTGTATATATGTTTTTTTCCAGTACGTATTTGTACATACGTGTGTAAGGTCTTCTTCATAAAAAGTACGACGATTAATTATTATCAAATATAATGCACATATAAAATTAAAAAGTATAAAAAACCGTCCAGCTTCGTGTTTTACATTAAGAATATGTTAAGAAACCGACTCGTACGGTTAAGCGGTGACAACATTTTCTGGATCCCGAGTTTAAACTGTTGGCGACTTGATGAACCTGCGCTGCGTGTATACTTGTCATGTTTACAGGCCAGTTACAGCACCACGTGAATATTTCTTTTTCGGCTAAGTATCTCGGAGACCGCTTGGAAACGTTTACCCATTTATTTACAAAAACAATTGATATCTTTCTTCTTGCATTTAGTTCATGTTTCTTCTTCCACTTCCCTTTTCTTTTTCATCTCTTTTCTATTCTGCTTTATTACATTATTCTTTACTTCCAGCACGATCGAAGCAGTCAAAAGCGAAATAACATATATTTTGTTTTTTCTTTTTCTTTTTTTTTTTTTTAGTGCATATTCTTTCTTACACACATCTTGCTCTCTTTTTTTTTCTTTCTTATCATTCACTCTCTTTCATTCATTTTACATTCACTCTTTTCGCCAATATAGATAAACAGACTCATTACTTCGGTATACATATACACATTAATATATTATATTTTATACTTTACGCTAATTATAGTAAAAACTCCTTCCGATTCGTTATATATTTCCTAAGAAACTACTTTTTAGCGGATGTTCTGTATCTTTTTTTTTTTTTTTTTTTTTTGGTAAAGAAAGAACAATGTTTATCGGTGCATGACATACGATCGATATAAAGCTAAGATTGAAACCGATCTCGTTTCCCGCCAATTCAATCAGAGCTCATGATTAATTGATTATCATTTGGGGTGACCACGGGCGACAGATCTTTTTTCGGCATGTCATCGATTATCGTATTTATTTCAACATTCTCGGATACGCCATTTTGCAAAATTTTTCCTTTTTCACCAGCTGTTTTTCCGCTCAACGAGGTCTTCGAAGTTTTCGATACAGGCGTAGATTTTTTCGTTGGGGATGCAACTGTAGTAGGTTTTGCTGTTAAGGATGCGCGTTTTATCGTAGTCGTGCTAGAACTAGTAGTAGACAAACGAGAAGTCGTCTTAGAAGCAGGTGTACTTGTCCGCCCCATGGAAATTTGTTTATTGGCTGTTTCCTTCACTTGTTTATCGATCGCTGGTAACTTATTGAGTGACATGCGAGGTTTCGATGCAGTTCCACTAGATGGAGCTGTTTTCGGTCTGTTGCTAGCTGTTGCACTGATGGTAGTCGTAGTACTGCTAGCTTTTACAGTCGTGCTTAATTTGTTGGCAGAAGAAGATCTTACTTTTGGAACTGTCGTCGTTCCAGTTGATGCTCGTGTGGAAGATGTTTTGACTAGCGTAGTTTTAGTCGCTAAAGGTGATGCTGATGGTTTGCTGGAGGATTTGGTTGCAGTTGCTGGTTTACTTAAAGATTTAACGTCACCATTCGCGGTAGGTTTTTTATCAGTAACAGTAACCGATTTTGAAGCGGTTGTCGCGATAGGTTTTGGTTTAGAAGTTGTGCTTACACTGGTTTTATTAGTTGATTTCGTTGCAGTAGTTGATGTCGTTGTTTTTGAAGCGGATTTTGCAACCGACGGTTTACTGGTTGTTGTAGAGGAAATTGTAGATTTCTTCGGAGCGTCGAGATCTTTTGGACGAGAAGGTGTCGTTGTCGACGGTTTTTTCATTGCTGCAGTTGATGTTCGTGTTGTGGAAGATACAGTTTTTGAGGGGGATGTTGGAGTTGATCTTGTTGGAGTTGCCTTTGAAGTTGTAGTTTTCGTCGGTTTTGTAGCGAGTGTTTTCGCTTTCGTTTTGCTTTGTGCTGCAACTGCACCCGCTGTAACTGTACCCGCTGCAACTGCTGCAGTTGCGGTTGCTATTGCAGCTGTTTCGATGACTTTATTTTCTGGAACTTCAGTTACTTTTTCTATTTCTGGTTCTTTGACTTCTGTTTCTTTTATTTCTGGTTCTTTGACTTCTGTTTCTTTTATTTCTGGTTCTTTGAGTAATTCCTTGATTTCTGGCTTTTGACTTGAAACTTCAATTTCTGGTTCTTTGATTTCAGATTCTTTAATTTCTGATTCTTTGATTTCAGGTTCTTTAATTTCTGATTCTTTGATTTCAGGTTCTTTAATTTCAGGTTCTTTAATTTCAAGTTCTTTGATTTCAGGTTCTTTAATTTCAGGTTCTTTAATTTCAGGTTCTTTAATTTCTGGCTCTTTGATTTCAGGTTCTTTAATTTCCGATTTTTTGATTTCAGATTCTTTGATTTCAGATTCTTTAATTTCAGATTCTTTAATTTCTAACTCTAATTCTTTGATTTTATGTTCTTGAATTTCTGGCTCTTTCATTTCTAATTCTTTAATTTCTGATTCTTTAACTTCGGATTCTTGAATTTCGGATTCTTTAATTTCAGATTCTTTAATTTCGGATTCTTTAACTTCAAATTCTTTAACTTCAAATTCTTTAACTTCAAATTCTTTAACTTCAAATTCTTTAATTTCAGATTCTTTAAATTCAGATTCTTTAAATTCTGGTTCTTTAAATTCTGGTTCTTTAAACTCTGGTTCTTTAAATTCTAATTCTTTAAATTCTGGTTCTTTAAATTCTGGTTCTTTAAATTCTGGTTCTTGGATTTCCATTTCTGGAAATTCAAGTTCAACTTTTGATTCTTTTAACTTTAATTGTTCAATTTCCAGTTCTTTAATTTCAGGTTCCTTAATTTCTGAAAATTCTTGCATTTCTTTCTGTTCTTGTATCATATATTCAGTTTCGACTGCAAGTTCTGAAGATTTTTCTGGTTCTGTAATGTCTATCAATTCTTTCTTTACAATTTCTTCCTGAAGATCTTCGACAACCTTGTCTTTAAAAACCTCTTCTTCTGTAGGTTGTAACTGACTCTCCAAACCTGTAAATTCTTGCATAGAATCAGATAAATTCAAAATGGACTCTTTTATTGGCTCTTCTGATTCTATCGATTTTATTTCCTCTGCTGATATATTTGTTTCCATCGATTCTTTCATTGATTCCATCATTTCTTTATCTTCAATATTTGCTTCTTCTAGAATTTCCTTTGATTCGATCACTTCTTCGGTATCAACAGAAGATTTGACAGGATAAATAATATCGTGAATGTGTTTTTCTTCTTGAGGAGAAAGAGGTGGAGTCAATTCAGAGTGAATTTGAAGCGGTCTTACGCAAACATCTTGTTCTTCATTAAAATCTTCCGGCTTTATCTCTACTAGTGGCTTCGTATACACTGGTTCATCTTCCTTTTCGTCAAATTGTATATTTGCAACCAAATCTTGCTTAACTATTTCGAACGCGCTTCCAGCTTCCGTGGAATATGCTTGATACGAATCAGTTGCTTTTATGTGCGATACTTGACAAACATCGTTATTGTCCATTCCAAACGATTGGAAATTATAATTTTCAGGTGTAAACTCTGGAGCGTCCGGATGCAACGAGGATTGAACCGGTTTGGAAGACTCAATTTCTGCATTCTCAGTTGCCAAATCACTTTCCATTGCATCTGGAATTGGAGATAACGAAGAAGGTGTATTAGCATCATTCGAGCAAATTTCTTTTTGTAATTCATTTCCAAGAAGGGCAGCATCCTCGCTGGTTTCGTCTATGGGTTTTGTTTCATCTATGTCGGCGCTGGAAGGCGATAATGGTTGTTCATTATCAACGGAAACAGGTTCTTTTTCCGACTCAAATTCTCCTGAATAATTTTCAGTTAAAGGAGAATGATCATATCTCGCAGTTTCTTGCGATTCTTGTTGATTGGAAGACTCTGGTTGCAAGTTTAGGAAGTCGACAGTGTTAGCTTTCAATTCCGCGTGCTCGATGAAAGTATCTTCGCTGTAATCTTGTTGCGAAGACAGGTTCACGAATTCTGCGCGAATTTCAGATTTTTCTGTTTTATCTATTGGCTTTTCGGTATTAGACATAATTGACACTTTATCATTGACAATATCATTTTCCAAGTTTAGAGATTTCGCCATAACTTCCTCCTCCTCTTCCTCCTCCTCCTCCTCCTTGTCCAAAATGCCATTCGTTTCTTCTAAATCAGTATTGCTCAAATCGTGAACGGCATTCAAATCGACACCTTTGTCGAACGCCGCTTCGAAGTCGCTCGGTGTGAAAGACATGGCCATTGGATCTTTAGCGATATCGTATTCACGCTCGCAGCTTGAGAACGATTCATCTATCGCGGAGATACCTGTTCTATGGAATTCACTAGCTGTTAAGAAACTGACCGAAGACTCGTCTCCGAATTCAGCTTTCGTTGATGATATTTCAGAATCATCCATATTTCCAGAAACAGGGGCTACTTTTTGCTTGTCAGCCAGAAAATCTGTATAATCGGTATGCTGTAAATTATCACCATTTTGGTATTCTTTCTCCTCACTGTCGACCTCTCTTGGCCGTTGGCATACTTCTTTCTCGAATTCGCTCTGACTGGGCACTTGAATGTCGTCCATCTGTGGGACTTGTTTGAAAGGTGATCCAGAGACAGGGAAATCCTCAACCAGATCCATTCTCGTTCCCATAAATTGCGGTGAAACAGGAATGAATTCGGCTGCGTTAGGGTTCAATTGAAAATCCATATCCTTCAACTTATTTTCTTCCTCGATACAGGGTTCCTTGATCTTCTCTACTTTTTCTTCTTTATCCTCAGCGCTAATCTATAATACGTAAAAAATTATATTTCTCGTTAAAGTGATGGTATTATACGTTAAAAATAATTATATATTTTATATTTCAAGAAAATAATAATTAATATAAATATTAATATAATTATTGTATAATAATAATAAGCAAAATTTTCAGAGATATACGAGTGAAAAAAATAATGATAAAAGCATGATACAAACTTAAAAATGTTATTACCTCTATGTTAATAAGCTCAGGCGATTCCTCTTTCAGATTTTCGCATTTAATATTCTGTTCTACGTTTTCGGATTGGATTTTCGATTCGGTATCTTCGACAGGTAACTCTGATATTTCACTTTCTTCTTCTACGTTTCTCGTTTTTTCGGATTCGTCAACAGGCGTTTCGGAATTCTTTTCTTTGTTTGGATCAACTCGATAATAGTTCCACTCGTCTTCGGAATCCTCGCTCTCCGCTACATTATCTGGTTCGTGAATCAGCGCATGCTGAAGAGGTTCTGAAAAGAATTAACAATATAGAATTAACAAAATAATAACAAAAAAAAATCATTTATTTAAATTTAAATTTTCAATCTCTAAAATTATTATCGATAAAACAAAGCAATTTGATGATAATACAATTCGGCTCATCATTGAAAGAAATCAAAAATTGGAAAAATTGCTATTTTTTTATATATTTATATTTTTTTACAACAATTTTGTTTATTTCCTTGTAAGTAGTATCTAAAACATTATTTATAAAAATTGTACCAAACATAAAAATTACGAATATAAATAATGTATATAGAATTCAAGTAGTTTATTTTATTTTTATTAATTAATTAAAAACAGGATATTTTTTAGAAATAAAATTTTAAAAATCAGAACATCTTTTTGCACATATCAACCTTTTTTTCACGTACTTATTTTTCTTTAAAGAACGATTCAATACACCATCTTACGTAACAATTTCCTGAATTATATGAAGAAATATCTCGATCTTTTATTATTATAAAATGATGAATAAGAATTCTCAAATTTTCACGAAAAAAAAAAAAAAAAAAAGAAAGAAGAAAGAATGGAATAAAAAAGAAGGAAATCTTTACAATAATATAATTAGAAAATTTAAACTTCACCATTGAATACTTCAAAATCGATATGGTCTCCTACATCTCGTTTATCTCGTATCGATTGTAATTGCAATACAATTAAACAAAATATTTTTCATTTCGATTATATTTTCATCGTTTTTTATCAATTTTAATTTCGACGCTTTCGAACATTTACAGATTTATAACACGAATTACATCACCAGGAAGTTCAATAAATAAAAGCACAACAAAAAGAAGATCTACTAGAGCTAATCAACTTGCAATATTTGGCATACACCAAGAGTTAACCCTGGGACGGTCGGCCGGACGCAACGTCACGATTTAACCCTAGGTCACTTATGACCCATACACTCCAAAATCGATAACGCAATTGACACTAAAACCAAGTGCTTAGAAACAAAAATAAGAGCAATTTAAACAACAACAACAACAATAACAATAATAAATTTACCTAAAATCGATCTTGCGACTAATCTTAACCCTTTAATCCTGAAAAAAAAATCAAACGAAAAAATTCGAAAGAACACAATGAAAAATTATCTAAAATCACTAATCAACGAGGGAAATCTACACGAGAAGAAAATTAAAGAAAAAGATCAACTAAAATCGATATTCTATTCTACATCTTCTCCAATATAATTGGTATATAAAACGAAATATATATATATATATATATAAAAAAAAAAAAATTAATCGATTTACTGCGTTCACAATAATGGTATATCATAAAAAAACAAGTACAAATACTCACAAGAAGGAAACGAGGTAGGATATCTGGCCGCAGGAGCGATTGCCGGTGACTAAGAGGAACTACGCCCGCCAAGAGATGCATTATCGATCTAGTCTAGAGAGCCCCCGGAGCACCCCCTTCCGCGACGGCCCTGCCACCACCCACCTGTACCGGCACACCGTATAGCAACAGTCGCACCTCATCTCCGCCAGGAACGCCGCTCCTACGATTGGTCCTGGCCCCTGCATACAAGGTGACTCACCCGCACGGTGCAGGGAATTTCGGTTTAAAGACGAGCAACCGGTGTTCCATCAATTTCGACTCGAGAGCTCCCCCCCCTTCGAGAACGAGAGTTGGATATGAGTATCCGAATCGAACCAGCCCACCATTACGAAACGTTTCATTCGAGATGTTTCGCGTCGTTGGAATAGATTTAGAAGCGGATCAGTGAAATAGATCCCTAACCTAAAAGAAGAAGCTATCACTTGGTATTTGGGTGTATAGAGATACGGTATTATGGTTTGTGGTCGTAGAGTAGATTATGGCGAGATTATGGGTAGAAGGAGGGTCGTGGAGATCGATGGAAAATTTTCTATCTCGGTTTGTCATGGATTTTATCGATTTTTTATAGAGCAGAGATTTTTTTTTTTGGTCGTAAAATAGATTACGACGAAAATATTAAACGTGATGAGTAGAAGGAAAATTTTGAGAATGAGAATTTTTTTCGTGGCATTTGATTTTTTATTTTTTTTATAAGAAGTTTTATAGTTTTATAGAATGTTATTGTAAAATAGTAATGAGAATCGTGGATCATTTCGAACAAGAATTTTTGATACAATATTTATCGATCTTTCGTTTTATAGAGTGTAATTATAGAGTTTTTTACGAGGAAGGTATCGAATGTGATGGATAGATGGAAAATTTTCTATTTTGATTCTTCATTCGTTAAACTTTTGTTTTATTGGAAATAATTATGATGTATTGTTTATGATTGAGTTGAATGATGAATAGAGAATTGTATGGATTGATGGAAAATTTCGAATGGAAATTTTCTCCCAGATTAATATTTTTGATCTGTTTGGTATATTAAAGTATGGAAGAATAGACTCTGACGTAGTCAGTGGAAAATGAGTAAAGCAAGGGGAGTTAATGAGCCAAGTTATTGAGACGAACCAAGTGAACTGCGATGAACGTTCTACATTTGACTTATGAGTTTTAATTTTTTAATTTGAATTTTCTACTAGTTTTTTTTAAAGATTAATCTGCAATGGTTTAATCCTCCAAGATTTAAGCAGAAAAAGAGAAATAATTGAAAAGATTTTATAAATGAAATAAATATTTGGAATTGTATTATTTAAGTACTATTGAAAGATATTAATTTAACGATTCCAAAAAAAAATGTACATCATTATAAGATTAATTTACATAATTTTCATTTGAATCAGAAAATTTTATTTCAAGTTATATCTATAATTATAATTAATCTTTAAAAATCATTATTAAATTCTGTAATTTATCATTAACTTAATATTTTTTAATAAATAATGTATATATATTAATAAATATATATGAAGCAAAAAGTAATAATTTGTTTTGTTCTCATAAATTATACTAACCCTCTCAACGATTCAAGATTATTGTATGAATATTAAATTCAAATCTTTCGAATCAATAAATTATTTGCTAAGAATGTGAAATAAATATACATAAATTTAGAATCACTGTAATATAATTAATAAAGTTGTAAACCATAAAAACGTCATGTATAAAATAAATGGACTGGATTTTCGAAATTACTTACCATTGGTAGAATTATAAAGAATTAAATGAAATATTTTTTTTTTGAAAAATGATTAAAACAAAGAGAATAAAATATATTTTTGTTTTTACAACGATAACGTAATATTATTATAATGTTAGAGTGTAATATTAATGATATGCAAATAACAAAGTAATGAATATTGATGAACAATGAAGCAATGATTCAACAAAGGAGAATAAAATATAATATAATTTGTATGAATCATATTTAAAAATTTAAAAGAATTTCAGGATATAAAAGGAAGGATATTCAAAAGAAATTAAAAATTCTTTATACATAGGTTTCATATTAAAAATAGAAACTCTGATATTTCTTAATCTTTTTTATTTGCAAATCATGTATATTCACTTAATTATTTATTTATTTCAGGTCGCAGTTATATTCTAAACTACAAGTAATGTTTATTATCTACTATTTAATATCTATTAATATTAAATAATAATTTTTTTAATATAATATTTTCTATCGAACTTTTATAACAATTTATTACAGCTGTAATAAATCATGTTTTTTATTTAACGCATAATCAAAAAATTCTATGATTTCGTTCTCTGAAAATTAATATAATATTACATATATCAAATTAATAATGTAAATCTATTCGCAATCAAATTTTTCAAAGTTTTATCGAAATGTCAAATACTTAAAAAAAAATAAGCACTGATTGTAAAAAGATTATTTATACACTATTATAATATTTTATGATTTAAATGATTATTAGATAATTATTAATTAATATATTTTTTCCAAGAATTTTAAAAATTACATTACTTTTAAAGATTTTAGAAATATTCGAATATGAGCGAATCAACAATAATAAGATAAATGTTGTTTTGTTTTAAATATCGCGTAAAAACAACAAGAATATTTTTATTAACATAGTATTTTACGTTTGGTAAAAATTTAAGCTACTAGATTATTATTATAATACTTAATTACTATGTACATTATGATCAATAATATATATATATATAATATATTATCAATAATATATTTACATGTAATCATATACAAAGTATATTCAGTAATCTTGATATTGCCATCATAAAATACTTTTGAAGTTATGGAAGTCAAAGGAAAATTTATAGTATTTATAAAGTTTTCTATTACATCATAAAGAAAACAGTAGATCATCTTTAATGCAATGAAAACACTTCGTTTTGGAAAATACGCTTGAATATCAAATTCTTTATTGTAAAATTATTCTAATATTATCTTAAGATTGTCTGAGATATTAGAAAATTAATTTTTGTAATAAAAACAAAATTGTGAAAAATGATTTTTTTTATTAGTTTATAGTATATATAATATATATAATTTTCAATGAAATTTAATTCTAAATTTATTTAATTTCAACAAATTTTTTTATGTGTAATAATCTTGAAAATATTTATTATTGTATCTTCCGTCATCAGTCATCACGTAACTCGTAAATATATACATACATGTATATCTATGTTTGACAAACATAACCTCTTAATAACAAAAAATACGATGTGAAACTAATAATAGGATAAAATTTATATATAATAAAGTTACTACAGCAGTTATTATATATTTTACGTAATCGAAGTATCTAGAAGCCAGAAGCGTAAGTACACGTACATAGAAACAGGCTTAAGGGATGCCAAAAAAAAGGGCAACCCACGCGAAGAACGTTGTCTTAACTCGTTCCTAATTCTAACGTTTCCTTTACCACCAACGCGAATCCGTTCCAACGATCTCCGTATGCAACTTTCAAGATATCTTTATCCGCCAAGTTTTTCTCTCAAGTCAAGAATTATTTTAGTTGAATAATTTTTTTTCTCTTAGTCCTCAATTTCCTTTTTGCTCTATCGCGTTTAATAGTTATGG